GGCAATCGAACCACATAGCATTGAGAAACAGTGGTACGAAACAATTTAGAAAAATATCAGTCGGCACTACTAAAATTCTGCTTCGCCCAATAAATAGTTATAAGCCTTTCCGTGATAATTTTCGTTGCATTTGAAACGTGAATCAAATAGCTCAAAGGCAATGTATGGCAAACTTTTTCGATCTTTTTGGATCACTATTGGTTCGCGAAGTCATCAACCCAAACGAGGGTCAAGAACCTGAACGCTCACAGGGAGCATGCAAACACGCTTGACCATTTGGCTACCTGGGTAGCTGATTTTACTGTTCCACTTTTCCTACGTGGTAAGTTTGAAATAGGTAACCAATGCTTTTCAATTTTCGGCTCACATTTCCTTTGGTTAGTAGAGAACGATAATCATTTTCCGTCTATGGTAGTGAAAATTTGTCCATTTCTATGTAGGAACAGTTCCATCGCTAGCAAGATCCGCTTTCTAGTCATCACAGTATCATTCAATCACCGTTTTCCCTCAACCCCTCAAAGGTCATTCCGTTTTGGCAGACATGAAAGATGCTGTCAATGAAGAACATAAACAACAGCAGCATCGTCGACCAGAACACCGGCACTCCTCTCCCGATTTGAATGATGGCCAAGAGTTGGATGACCAATACACAAAAACCAATCCAGTGGGTGAATACACTCCAATTTTTGAAGAAACTCCCCCGTTACCCCGTGAAAAATCTCTATCCCCGAATCAAAACACCGAACCAATTACTGATGCCCAACTGAACTCGGTGACTGTAGAACTCTCGGAAATGGATCACGAAGAGGAATCGGGTAAGTGTTCTTCTCCTGAAGGAGGACGCGATTTACTGGAATCTCAATCAGAGATTCATTTATAATCTATTAGGGAATTAGTGTCAAGCACAATGAAAAACTTGGTCGGTATAACTGATAACATCACACCAAGAATGATTGCGCTTCCGTTAAAAATAAACTGTATAAACTCTAGTTCCTTTGTTGCACGGAGACGTATCATATTAATCATATCAATGCAAGGATATCCGAGGAAATCAAACAGTCGTTGAACATATTCAATGAGACTGAGATAGAAAGAGCGGAAATGGAGATGCTTGCACTTCATTCATGACTTGTGAGCATATGGGTGCCTCTGTGAGTGCATCTGTTTTAAGTTAGACTGAACAAAGAAGACATGCATAGATATTTGATATCTCATTCGCACACGTGCATGTGTGTTTGTGTTTGTGATAAACATTGATGGTTTTGGCGAGATTAGACGGTTTCAAGGGTACTATATATTTTTTGGCGGTCGATAATAATCACGCTTGAGTTATGCAACCAAAGTCTTATGGTACAGAAAGGTGAAAGAATGAAATTTGGTGACCAGATTATCCTTCATCTCAGTTAAAATGAATTGAACTAGAGTTTGATTGGATTGTAGTGCGTTAAAAACTTACTATGTTTAGTTCACCCTCAATTACCTTTTGTTGTTAATTTGACTTGGTCATCACCTTAACATTTTGATGTAAGAAACTGCTGTGATCAAATACAGTTGAATTTGTTTTTCTGTTTGTACAACACAGCGCTTAACGTTTGATGCGTTGATTTACTTCACAATTTCAGTAGAGTAAAATTTGCTTACAGACCGATTTTCATTTTATGCTGAATAAATGAACAATGGACATAAGTGATGCAAGGTTGTAGGCTACAATGACTATAATTTTTATACTTAGACGCCGTAATTATTTTAACAGGCAAGCCAGAAGATAAAAGCTGAAGAAGGAAATCTTTTTGTGTACTTTCATCGGTCGGATACGCACAGCATTGAAAACAAAATATTGGGTATCACCATCAGAACGGAAACATAATGCACATGAGACCAGACTACTTAACTCTAACCGTACTTCAATAAAATTGAATCGGTGCTTAGAGTCCGTGCCAACGGAAGCTGGTATCAGCACAGTGATACGTAACACGAAGGCTTTCTGCTCGACAGTAGCCTTGGTTCCTACCATGGATGGTGGATGTGCTCGGATGCTAGCAGAGATTTATCTGGTGCTCTCCGATTCTACAATAAACTGTATAGTGTGTGAAGATGCAGTGTGATCACTCGGAAACGTCAGACGCGGCATAGTAAATGGCACCTTGCAAGCTTCTTACAATCCGTTCCAGAGGTAATCGTGGAATTATGACCCGGCTGTAAACATCTGTAAACAATCTGGCGATTCGCCTTTCTTCAACATGATAAGACTAGAAAAGTAGGTTTAGTAGTGAGGGTAATCCCTACCCTCACTCCTAAACCCACCTTTCTAGTCTTGTCATGTTGAAAAAAGGCGAATCGCCAGATCAACTGCTAGANATGATTACCCATGGCTTGTCAGCTTCCGAAGATTTTTCCCTTAGGACACAACGAATTTCAAAAGCCATTTGTGGTGATCCAGGCCTACACAATGGCGCCTATCCTAGAGCGGCGCGTTAAAGTTTCAGGACATTTGCGATTAATCAAATTTGAATGCTGACGTCAATGTCACGCGCATGGCTTCCGAATACACGTCATTGGTGGATCGTGCCAGCCAATCCAAGACAGTGCAGACAGAAGCAGAATTAGGCAAGCAGTACTGCAATCCGATTGGTGGAAGCCCAGATAGCCAATAATCTCCCTTTGTACATATTATTTAATCACCTTCATTTCTTCCAATAAACAAACTACTGCTTACTACCATTCCTCGCGTCTCGTTCTCGTGGGATATTGCGAATCCGCGCTATTGTGGTCCAGTTCGTGATAGCTGACTATTGATTNGTATTGCGTGGCTGGCATTCCGAATTCCGTGCGTATTATTACGATTACTACAATCGATACACCATTATGAAATAGAACTCGAGGTTTTCGCGTCAGGTTATTTGATGCAGGTCAACGGTGATAGAAATCACAGAGGCAATTTAAACTTCCATCTGCTGGTTTCAGTTATATGCATGCATCAAACCATAATTTAGCTGTTCTGACCGCTCACAAAGTCAATGTATGGTAAGTCACGTGGATAGTATACGACTTATCTGATATCGACTGTAAATAAGATATTTGCGTGATATAACGGCTACACGGTGGTTGACATAAACCGGGAAAGATTGCATCTTACGTATCCGACTTGTTTCAGCTGACAGGAAAGGGGGGTTTACGTCCCAAGTGGACTCACAACACTCCTGTAGACACTCAAAATTTTCAAGTTTGTCTCCACCAGGAGTGATCCATTTATTCTAGAAAGTTATCAGCCCCCTCTACCACGCCAGTTACTAATCCATTAATGCTGCTAGACCAATGACCAGTGAATGGCTTATTTATTGCTCCTTGTTGCCGGGCTCTTTTATACTTCTGTTATCCTCTTTTCTGTTTCAGCCGATCCGACCTCATCTGAAATTCTCGAACCACTCATGCCTCAAACTCGTTCGTTCAATGGCTCAAAACTACCAAAATCAAAAGATAAAATAAAGAGCACATCTAATGAAATACCTCACTCTGGGACGACCAGCATAACAATCAATCAGCCACCAATTACGGTGGACCGAGCTACCAGACAAGCACTGACAGAGCAATATCGACTCGGACTGAAACGGATCGCTACCAACGTTGTGCCAGCAGATGATACGTCACGACGCTATCACACATTAACCCATGTGGGACGATCCTCGTCAGGACGGCTACCAGCAGAAATCGTTCACACAACCTATGTGAATGCGATTGACGTGCAAGATTTGGTTCATTACACACGTTTGTCCCAGTTGCACACGGATCACTACGACGGTCCCGGGCATCCTTTTCTGGAGTCGTCCGTGCCTCCAGACGAACTTCATCTAGGCACACACGCTGGTGGTCACAGTCCATGTCGAACACACACTTTGCCCCGACCCACAGTGTCACCGCTTTGGATCGAGACGCACTCGGCCGGTCGGCAATCGACACCCATTCAGGAACCGTTTACTGTTGCGTCCCAACACGATGCACTACTTTCCGAGTTGTACAATCGGGGCAGCGGAGATCCACTGATCACAAACAACTCAGATGTAGTGTAAACTCCTTATGGTCGTTTTTCGTGAGCTATCTCCTTCCATCTACTTCCATCCACTTCAGTTATGAATCAAAGACTACGTTCTAGCTAGAGACACTCCTCAAACCGTTCGAACATAGCACCAGGAACACGTCTACAGATGAACGCAACCGATTCCACATAGATAGCCCCTCATCCCTCACCAGAAGTTGATCTATCCTCGACCGCCTGCATTTATCCTTCCAGTGGAAGCCAAGGTACCATATGCGTGCTCCCACCAATTCGTTCACCCCAGCCCATTTGATCTTTTTTCTCTTGCAGTTTCTCCTGTGAAATGCAAGCACTTCAGTCTTCTGACGCGAACTCAGTCAGTACGTTTGGGCCGCATCAAAAACTGTGGCTTTGTTTCCGCCTCGTGGGCAGCAATTTCCACCTCATTACTTATTCGCTCATCCCTAGTTGACACACCTACATACATACATACACACAAACACACATACAAGGATAGCCAGCAACGTCAGGCGGTTGATTTTACGACAGACTGCCGTCTGCTATCGTTCTTGTCTGACGTGGAACATGCGAAATCAAACAAACTACACCTCACTTGTGAACTATGTACATTCGGTATATAACCCAACCTTTCATCACTATATTCTACTCATCATTGTATTAAGATAGTGTTTTTCTAACTGGAGAATGTCAGCTCATCCGTTAGACCCATGTTATGGGACACTGCGCAAGCCGTAAATAAGGTTAAGAAAAGCGCGTACTATCAGGTTTATGCAAAGTGATGCGATTGGTTCACAATTCTACTAGTGCAATAATCACGTGGTCAAGAGAGTGATGACCAAATGGTGCAGATAAACTGAATGTCTTCGGTTGATGACGCTTGCGATCACGTGCCAACGGGTTGATGCATGAATGACAAAAAGCCCTACACCAGTTATATTAGGCACAAGTAGTGCTTGTTGGAAACTGAGGGGATCCAACTGGTTGACGAAATCAAGTACTGGAAACGATGGTGAGTCTTATTTGTAGGTGTGATATAAGGTGGCTGATTGTACTTATTCGTCAAGGATGATTCACAGACAAGGAAGTCCATTGGGATACGTCCTGCTTCCGTTCATTTTTGGTCGCAGCGCCTTCTGATGAAGGAAAGACTGCTTTCTGCACCAGTGCATCTGTCACAATCTCGGCAGCATACGTGATAACTAAGAGTTGCGAAAAATAGCAATGACCACAATTGTAATCGCTTGAACTTTAGTGCAGCAAGGACAAATGAGAAGTAATCAGGAGTCGATTCGGTTTGCACATCTGAATAACAAACTTTAGTGAGGTGCGAGTGCTGGTGGATACGCAATGTTGATGAGGTCTAACCATGTGTCTAGAAGAGTGGTACAGTGCTGGAAAAACATCTCGGGGGGGGGGAGTGATTACATTTAATCTTCAGAGAACAAAATACTTGATGACCGCGCTTTTCAATCATCTTCCCAATGGTACAGAGAATTGGTCACAGATTTAAAAGGGTCCCGTTAAGTTATTCTTCATACTAATGACACATTATAGAATGAAAAGCTCATTTCTTGTGAATTAAAATCCAAGATATATATGGGGAAAAATTGACTAGACAGACCGCTATTTCAATAAAGCTCCTTATGAGCTATTCAAAAAAGCAATGCTAGGTTAGACTTATTTCGACCATTTCATCCACTTGTTCAGAAACGTACAAATGATAAAGAATCATCCGGGATATATGTTATTTTCGGACTCAAACTAATATTTAGAAATAAACTTGTTGAACCAACGGAGTAGACGGCGATGTGCTACAGGATGTCCACCGGCTCGTGTTCTCGCAGATATGGATGATATGAGACTCGGTTGGAGACGGACGATGGCAGTACGGGTGTTGAGGCGACCACGATAAGGGATGGCAAGGAAACACTGAAAGGCAATTTATCCGTGGGTCGAGGTTAAAAATAAACCTGCAAGGCAAAGCCAAACAACACCATTAATCCAAAAGGTTGAGTAAGATACAATCATTCAGGATAAAATATTACTGGCGCGGTAACTAAGCTTTACAAACCCAGTCTGACGATCCACGTGATCAGGAGGCTTCACTTTGACTTCACACTGAGCACCCCGACGCATTCCCGCCCGTTTATCAAGGAAAAGTACCTGAACAATAGTTGCACTACTTGACCCTTCACATTCAGAACTCGATCAAAGATCCTCTGATCTCTAATATCTGTATAAAAGGGTAAATCATGCTTCTTCTTTTCATCTACTGTGATTTTGAAAATCAAATTATTATGAAATTAAATTAATTTATTATTATTAGTGAACCTGAGATCTGGATGGTTGTTATTTGGTATTTTCGTTATGATTAGACCAATCTTTTTCTTAAAAAGGTTATGAGCGGCTTCACTAGCGGTCAAAAACCTTGTAGACAGTTTAATCGACTGCGCCTGGGAAGGATCGAAATTGGAGGTACTAGAAAGTTTGAGTCACAGTTATTGGACTCATAGGTTTCCCTGTAGTCTCAACACCAAGTGCTTTGGATCGCAATGTAATCAGAACATTAAAATAGACTATTCTATCTTGTTGATGCTTAAGCAATTGCATTTGACTATGAACGACCAGCATGCCCCCTCAGATAAATAATTTATAATGCAAATTCTACGACGCAGGAGAGGAAGTTAAATAGACCAGCCTCCCTTCCCTATGATTGCTTGAAGCGGTTGTTGCTTGACCACAGAGTTGAAGGCATACGAATGGGCCAAGGGTTAAAAACACGTCTTGTCGTGATTTCATTCTCCAGTTGAACAAACAGGCTTCGTGCTGTAATTGTGGCGATCGTCTGGAGGAACAATTCTGTGCCCATCTGGTGACAATTCTACGGTAATTGTTAAAGAAGTAAAACCTGACGTTCGTACGCAATATCCATGAACAGCATGACGATCCTATTCAAGCAACGTCCAGCTACTGGGTCACTCTCTTTCAGCGGTACGGTCAGAATCCATTCCGACCTCTAACGTCCAAACATGAACCCAATTCACAACGCAGTAATCCTGGCACCACGAAACCCATCAGTCCATGCCTGTTGTGAGGAGTTTACCATATGTGCGCCACGAGTCGAGTTCGTGACGCTAAGTGATATGGATGCGGGAAAGTTAGGTATGTACGGAGTGTGTAAACAGCCTCACTGTAACATAGCTGCGGTGATCCAGCCCTACGAGATGATGCCTCTCCTGGAGCGGCGCGTTAGTTTTTGGACACTCACGATCAATCAGATTTCAAAGGTGACGTCAATGACGCGCGTACGTGTCACTGCTTCTGACTACACACCATAGGCAGATCGTGCTAGCCAATCCGAGACAGTGCAGTCCAGACAGAAGCAGAATGATGCAAGCAATACTGGAATGCGATTAGTGGAAGCCTGGATAACTAATGATCTTCTTTTGTACATATTATTTAATCGCCCTGATTTTTTACAACAAACGAACTACCATTTATGTGGTCTATTCCTCGTGTGTCAGTTACGGGAGACATTGCGTGCTAGTGCAACTGCGGTCCAGTGCTTATGTGATCCAGTCCGTGACTGCTAGTCCTTGATTCGTATTCAGGGATTCGTATGGCATGGTTCGTGTTTCGAGTTCCGTGCGCACTACTACTACTACTACTACTACCATTACAGGTTCTCGTTCGTTTGACCAACAGAGCAGTATTAACAATTTTGAAGTCAGCGATAAATTTATTTTCCCAAAACTGATAAATTCTCGGGTAAATCATTGTTTAGAAATCACCAAGCTATGGCATCTTAACATGAACACAAATATTTCACTCGAACCACACACCTTGATGAATTACACTTCCGATTTTGATGGTGAACTTGTCGGTGGTATTTCCCCTGTAGACATTCACGCTCCGTTGCACAACGACCGGTGTGCGGGTGATCGTCTAACGGGGCACTTCACCCAATTCAAGGAATAAGGCGGCGACCGCCCAAATTCACGACCGGTGAGTTCAAACTTGGCCTCGGGCAGCTGGCTGCAACCAGTTACAATTTTGATGTAAATTGAACATTTTATTTTGAACGTACAACAACAAGTTGCGTTGCAGTGCAATGGCTGTAGAACTTTTCTGAAATCTCTTGTTGTGAGGTGTGATGCACGCATTTAGTCCTAAAACATATCAAACTCGAAGTATCCCACGACTGGCTGTTTCGTTTTGGATTTTATTTGCATCGTTGACATAAACATACATACCTTGGTCAAAGAGTTTCCGTCAACAAAGTCATGTCATTTTACGCCATTTGGAATAATACTGCCTAGG